TTTAATGTTACCGAATCTAAGTATGTTAAATATTTTAAGTCTACTATATTTCTACTGGACTTAAAATATTTAACATAAATTAAATATTTAAATTAAATATTTAACTTAAAATATTTAAATTTTATATTTCTATTAGGGAAGCTAGGTAGCCTAGAGTAAGGAAGACTCATCTTTCTGAGTTCAAATCTGGCCTCAAACATTAGCTGTGTGACTGTGGGCAAGTCACTTAATCCTGTTTGCCTCAGCTTCCTCATCTGCAAAACGAGCCAGAGAAGGAAATGGCAAACTATTCCAGTATCTTCGTCAAGAAAACTCCAAATGGGGTCATGAAGAGTTGGAGATAACTGAACAACAACAACAACAACAAATATTTCTATTACAATCTATCCCATCTCTGTGCCTTTGTAGGAACTGTCTCTGCATGCTTGGAACATACTCTCTCTTCCTTGCCTCCTCTTAGAATTGGTAGCTCCCTTCAAACTCAGCTCAGCCTCTAACTTCCCAAGTGAGGACTTTCCCAATGCCCCACAGCTGCTAGTAATTCCTTCCTCCAAACTGCATCATATTTTTAAAAATATATATATTTATAGACCTTATCTGCCACAGGTTGGGTTGGCTTGAGTGGTACCTGGTCCCAGGGCCTTGGCCCCAGCATCTGTGCCAATCTCAGCCTGTATAAGAGGACTTAGGGATTCAGGTCCAGGAGCTATGTGGTAGGAGAATTGCCGTGGTGGAGCTCTGTTCTCCTGGAGATCAGGGACATGATTCCTCCCTCCTCTGCAGCCTACAAATTTGGGAGTAACCACTAAGAAAGGAAGAATGCAGAAATCAGAGTCATGGAAGCCTACAGATGAGAAAGAGAGCAATGGGGACCTCTGAACAAAGAATGTCATCAGGTTTCCAAATAAAGCATAGATCTGTAGTACACCAAAACAAGCCATTACCCTCCAATAATTCTCCAGATATTGTAAAGAAACCTCACCCTCAGCCAAGTGATAAACTTAGTCCTAAAACTATTGACCCATTTAGGCTCCTTCTGCTTTGCTGCTATTGACTCCAAAGGAGGTATTCCTTGCAGGGTCTAAGACAGACTAAATATTCACAAACATTTGTCTCAAAAGATGATTTTAAAGAATTACTTTTGGTTGGAAGTGCTACTGAAAAAACTGTGCCCTTGCTACCTAGACCCGGCTGGGGAACCTGGTCTAGACTGATTCCTGTCTTGAAGGCAGCACTGACCCATTTAGATGGTGAAGTGTTTGAAAGAGGATTGAATGCTGTCGTACAGCTGAATGGTGGTGTTGGGCCTTTTCTAAATGATCATTTATCAAGTATTTGCTTACAAGTCCTTCCAAGAGATTAATGGATAAAAAATTCAAAGAGCCAATCTAGTGCTTTACAAAAGGTAGAACAACATGGTGAAAGTGGCAGTCTTACGATTATCAAAGCTAAAATTCCAACCTCTTGTTCCATCTTTTTTTGTTTGTTTGTTTTGTGAGGCAATTAGGGTTAAGTGACTTGCCCAGAGTCACACAGCTAATGAGTATTACGTGTCTGAGGCCAGATTTGATCTCTGATCCTTCTGACTCCAAGGCCTATGCTCTATCCACTGTGCCACCTAGCTGCCCCTCCATCTGCTTTTAAATCAAAGGAACAACAAAATTATTTGACTAAGTAGTGAGAGATCAGAAGCTTGGTGGTGAACATCGTAAGATCCCTTTCGAACATATTTCATTTTTTTATCACAGCTACTGATTTGTTATTTACATGCTAAAAATTGAATACACAAAATTGATTCAACCAAATCACAGTAAATAAACATTTATCAGGATGGGGAAAATGGCTAATTGTGGAAAACTACTGAAATGACTTCTTTAGTGCAATTTTGTGGTGTTTATCAAACACAATTTTTTTTCTGCTACAGTTGGTCTGTATTAAAGACCACAGTTTTGTTTATAGTTTCAGATTTGACATATTTTAGTGCTTTTAGTTATAATATCACTTTAGTGATTGCACTAACTTTTCATAATTACTCTGTCATACTTTGCAGGGTTTTTAGACCTACTAGAGAAATAGAAATTAGTAAGAGTCATTAAACTGCTCAGTAACTCACTGATAAATTATTGCTTATAAACAGATATTTTTATAATGTGGAATGGAAAACATCAGGAACATTTCAAAATATGAATTTTTCAACAGTGTAAAATTCTGTTATAACATATAAATTATTATCTCACTATAACTTGCTAAAATTATACATGAGTTTAAGTGTTGCATAGTATATAAGTAAATGTTATTTTTTATATTTCCTCACTTTAAAGAAATATGCTTGCAGATTGGGATATTTAGGTATTCAACTCTTGAAATTCCAAAGTGTATTCACAAAAATTTTACTGTTAACTTGTTAGCCCTTTTCCCCTTAAAAATACTTAATGTTTTTGTTCTCACAATTTTTTTTAATTGATAGGTGTATGTGTTGTTTATTCCAATAAAATATAAGTTCTTTAAGAGTAGGAAATGTTTCATCTTTCATTCAACATGTGCCAGGCATGATAAGAAACTTTTAATAAGTCCAAGTATTTATTAGATGCCTATTCTTCTGTGCAAAGCACAGGGAAGCTTTTCCAAGAGCGATAAGTTAAAAAAAAAACTAAGAAGAATTTATTATAAAAGGATTTCACTTACAGGGTGGTTCTGTAATCCTGTGGACAGTAGGGTTCTAATATAGTACTACATGGAGTCAAATGACCTGGGTTTAAATCCTGACTCTGTCACTTACCTGTGTGACCCTGGCAAATCATTTCACCTTGCCTGGCCTGTGTGCTCATCTGTAAAATTAAGGGATTGAATTAGTTGACCCATTGGGGCTTTTCTAGCTCTAAATCTCTGGTTACAGGATAATTTTATCTGCAGTAGTTACTGAAGTATTAGAGAAATTGCTCGGTATTAATAAGTGAATTTCTCACCCGAGAAGCCTTTACAGTTGAACAAAAAAAGCATTCAGGAAAAGATGATTTACCTGGATTCCCAATTTAAAAGTACTTGGCCAATTTTTAACAAATTCAAATTCAGCAAACATTTGCTAAAGGTCTACTGCATGCAGGGGACCATGAAGTGGAAAAATTTAGGCATTACAAAAAGGTCTCTATCATTGAATTTACTGCGCTTTGTCAACCATAGCTCAGGCTGAACTCAGTGGTAAGGTCAAGGATGGAAATTTTGCTGAATCTACTCTTTTGCTATAACTCTGCAAGTGCTATTGCAAATTGAACATCCATTTGTTCTCATGACTTCAGTCAAAAGGGTCAATGGAAAACTGAAGACTAAAAACCAGGAGAGAAACAGAAGGGCTGAAGCAAAGAAATGGGAGTGAGTCAGCCAGACTCTACTTTTCTACAAGTGCCCAATCTCCAGTTCAGTAGTTGCTTCTGCATCCCCTCCCCCCAAATGCAGCTAGATGGCTCCTAGGATCCAGCTCATGGCTTACAGTTAGCAAGACCTGAGTTCGAATGCGGCCTTTTATATTTACTGTGCGATACTGGGCAGGTCTGATTTCCTTATTTGTAAAATGAAATAATAATTGTAAGTAATTAGCACAGTGTCTGTCACATATAAGTGTTGTTTAGTCACGTCTGACTCTTCATGACCCCATGAGCTTTCTTGACAAAGATACTGGAGTGGTTTGCCATTTCCTTCTCCAGCTCATTTGACAGATGAGGAAACTGAGGCAAACAGGGCTAAGTGTCTTGTCCAGGGTCATATGACATATAAAAGTTTGAGAGACGTAGTTTCTGGGTAATTAGTCATTTTATTAATCATGCCAGCAATAATTAATAAAAGGGAAAGGTGGCACTCTCGAATGCCAAAGCCCCCTCATGAAACCTAGTCAAAGCTTACATATACCCTTGGGAAGAGTGGACGGTCCTGAGGATGATGATCAACTCTGATTGGTCAACAAGTAATGAGAGAAGGAATATTATGACAGGTGACCTTATTCTTTTTTTTATTTGAATTCAATATTAAGTAATATAAAGGAGCATAATAATATACAATTTAAAAAGTCACTGGCATTTGATCCCTTTCATAATGAATAAATAAATCATAAGGAAGTACGGAAGAAAGATCGTCCCAGAATGCAAACCTATGGATAAGGGCAGAAAGTTGCTCGTTTATGTCACCCAGATTTCGTTCACTTTAGGCCACTTAATCTGCATGACATAGATAATGAAGAAAATAAATCAAAATCAAACTAATATTATTTACACAGATTTCTTCCATTGTAATGTGATTGAGGACAGATATATACATGCACATGTAAAATAATCACAATCATAACAGCTAATATTCATATAGTACTTTAAAATTAATCTATCCTTGGAATCACAGGGCGGCCTTATTCTAATAAGGGTCTAGGGGGTCTCACTGATCACTCAGTCTTGGTCAAAAGATTTATCTCTTATCCAGACTACCCCTGCCTAGGGCAATCTAGACAAGAGGGGGTCCACCTCTGCCCAGACCTGGCCAAGTGTGACACAATGGGCTGTAATTCACCTTAGATTAAATTCTTTGTAAGGTTCTCTAAGCTTTGACCTAATCTCCAAATGCAGAAGTGAAAAATTCCTGGATCTCCCCAATATTTGGTTATTTAATAATCATTTCTCTCATTCACAAAGCTAGTGTCTGAGCCTGGAATTGAACTCATGAATATGAGTCTTCCTGACTCCAGGCCTGGCACTCTATCCACTGCTCCATCTAGCTGCCCCATATAAGTATTAGCTATTATTATTAATGTAAAAGAATTGGGGGCACAGACCTTTTGAATTAAGCATAGCCTACAATGCATAAATTGCACAGATAATACATTGCCATGGAAGATTAAAAGATATCAGCTGATAGACAACTGGGCCTTAAGTCAGGAAGATCTGAGTTCAAATTCAGCCTTAGACACGTACTAGCTGTGTGATCCTGGGCAAGTCACTTAACTTTACCCCTGTTTGCCTTAATCCACTGGAGAAGGAAATGGCAAACCACTCCAGTATCTTTGCCAAGAAAATCCAGCATACAGCATTGGCCTGCTGTGCTCTACTGGAAGAGCTGAACACAACTAAACAACAAAACACGGGGAAGGTAAACTTGTAAACTGATAGAAAAGTGTTCAGAATAAAATCCTGTTCCATCTACCCTTGCCAAACATGCAGAGACTGAACTGTTTCCATGGACTTTTACATTGTTTTTAAACATAACTTTATAAACTTTAAAACATAAAACATAATCGAGTACACTTTTGTTTGTGTAGAAACAAACAGTATTTGTTTAAAAAAATGTTTAGAAAAACTATGCAAGGTACAGAAAATGGAAAAAAAAGGGAAATGTAGAAAAAGAAGAATTATTGGAGCACTTAATTCATAGAACAGCAGGGTCAGTGGTTAACAAATAACCTTTAAAAACATGTTGACTGCTGGACTTAAAAAGAAAAAAAATCTTAAGTAAAACCAATTTGCAACTTCATGTATAATCTTTTTTCTGTTCTCTGTATGTGGAAACACTCACTTTTTTGGCTTTTAAGTTCTGAATTTTTTAAAAAGGGAAAGAAGTTGCTTGAAGGAAGGTTGTTTTGGTTAGGGGTTTGTATGGGCAATATCTGAAATTGCACACACTTAAATGCTTATTAAATTGCAGGGGAAAGTATACAGGCATTCCATCATTTTACTGGAGAATGTTATTGATATGAGCATACCCTATGTAAATCTGTCAACTTTTGTGCGTGGATTGTCTTTTGCTTTTATGAGTGCAATCGAGACAGAGACACCATGGAATATTCCAGTATTAAACACATCCACAATTTAAAAGCGTTTTGTAGGTAGATTTGAGGTTTTAGAAGAAAAGTGCAGCATTACTCAATTAAAAAAAGAAACTAAGGATCACGTGAAGCAATTGCATTGTTTCTTAAAATGTCCGTATTTCTTTTTCTCTTCCTGGTCAGAGCTGGCTGAGTTTTTAAACATGGTTTTCCTTTGGGGACACAGATCTGATGAATGTGGCTGGGAATGGAGAAGGGCATTCTAATTCTAGGGTGGCCTGGGAGGAAATTTTCAGTGGTTCTTAGATAACTAGTTAGGGCTAGTTTTTTTTTTTAAAGCTTCTGAGAATTCCCTAGGCATTTCCTCATTGCAAAGCCCCTCCTCCACGCATTCCACCGCTCACTTTGGCCGGCGCTGGGGAACTGCATTCCCACCTGTGCTTTCTTCCCCCCAGTACACCTGAAGTTCTCTCCCTTTTCCCCCGTGGCTCCGGTGGGCTCATGCACCTGCGGCTGGCCGGTGGGCGTTCTGTTTCCCACACCTGTGGTTTGCACGAGGAGGGGGAGGGGAAGGAGGCATCCACCTGGGTCTCGACCTCAGTCTCTCCTCGCTGGGGAAAGGGCTTGTGCAAGCACCCCGGCCGCTGCCCGAGCCCTTCCAGCCTGATCATCACATGACTCGGAAGGCGGTGGGAGCCGGAGCCGAAGCCCGAGCGGCGGGAGCTCCTTCAGCTCAGCCTGTGGCTTTAGTTCCGCGCCCGGAGGAAGGGAGAGAAGGGGGCGGGGGGAGAGAGAACCTGCCGCCACCGCTCCGGCCCCCCTCCCCCCGCTCCAGCCGGTTCCCAGCCTCGCTCCATGTAGCTCCATTGCGGAAGTGGACCAGGAGGTGGCGGCGGCGGCAGTGGCGGTGGCGGCTGCGCTGGCCCCAGGAGCCCGAGGCTGGGGCCCGGCCCGTTCCCCCCTCCTTGCTTCCAGAGCAACAAATAGCCGCGAGCCCGTGCTTGCAGTCCCCAGCTCGGCGGCTCCCCGGCTTCCCTCCCTCATTCTCCTCCTCCTCCTCCTTCCTCGGCGCAGTCGTCGCCGCCGTCCCCAGGCTGCATGCTCCTGGCCCCCCCCTTCCCCCGCCTCCTCCTCCCGCTCCTCCTCCTCCTGCTGCTGCTGCTCTCCCCGCAGCCGGCCGCGGGAGCAGTAACATGCTCACTCGCGTGAAATCTGCGGTGGCCAATTTCATGGGCGGCATCATGGCTGGTGGCTCGGGCTTGGAGCACGGCGGAGGCTGCGCCGGCGGCGGCGGCGGGGCCGGCTCCGACCTGCCCTTGCGCTTCCCCTACGGGCGGCCAGAGTTCCTGGGGCTGTCTCAGGACGAGGTCGAGTGCAGCGCCGACCACATCGCCCGCCCCATCCTCATCCTCAAGGAGACCAAGCGACTGCCCTGGACCACGGGCTACGCAGAGTGAGTGCAGCCGCCGCCCGGGGAGGGGCATCCCCCCACGTACCCCTTCCTTCCCTGCCTATCGTACTGGCCGCGGGGCTGCCATCAGTCCCCTGGGTTTCCCGGCTCAAGCTGGGCATTTCTCCCTTCCCCTCCCCCGTCCCCTCGTCCCTTCTCTCCAAGGACGCTGCGTCTCCGTCCCTGGAGATGGGGTGGGAGGCAACAGCTGGACCAGGAGGAAGGATCGGGACTGGAAGGGCATTGAGGGGTGTGGGATGGGGGTAGTGGCCTTTTGGACCCCAAGTGGGAAGCGCGGCTGTTGAAGTTAGCAATGGGGGAAGGGGGTAGGCTGTGGATTATGCGCTCCTCCAGTTCCTTGCCTCCGCCGTGGGCTGCTGCGGGTATCCTCGTCTTGGAGGTGGGGGCCTGCGGGTGTCGGTCGGGGTGTATGTGACGGAGGAGGATCTCGGACCTTCGAACTGGGAGAGTTGCTGTACTTTCCCCCTGTAGCGGTTGGCAGATGTCAGGACCACTTTCCTGTTGCAGCCTGGGGAGAGGGAGAAGTTAATTTTAAGTAGATAATCCCAGCATCTTGGCAATTTCATCTTTATTGCCAAGCCGTTGAAAGCTGGGGGTGAGGGGTAATTGCTATCTTAGAAATAAGTGGTGGGGTTTGTGGTTCCCGAGGAGAATTAAGGGGGGGGGAAGAGCTAGCCATGGAGGTAGATAATGTTTTCACTTTTTGCCCCCACTGGTGGTCTCCCATTGACTTTATTAACGAGCCCTTTTTGACTCTATGAATGCCGGCGCTGCGTTCTTGTTTTGTTCACCTGGTCCTCTGCACTCTGGAGCTGGGAGATTTGGAAGGTGGAATGAAGGAGACTGGAGTTCAGGGGTCGATAACGCCAAGTGCGGGTGCCGAAGGGTGGCATTAGAACTTGTACTGCCCGTGGGACTTAACTGGCTCCTGGGCCTCCTGCCTTAGCAGGCTACCCGCACCAGCTACCCCCTGGCCCCCTCTAACCCTTAACCCATATCCCTGTGACACCGATGCTCAGCTGGGCACATACTCTGATTGGGTCTTGGAAGAACCAATCAGCTCTTGGGATGCCTGTGCCAGGTGACTTTTCTGGAGGCTGCCTTGAACCCCCCCCCCCCGCCCCCTTCCCATTAGCAAGGATGAATGGAGCTGGAGTGGTGGGGGATGTTGTGCCCTCTTAAGCTAAGTGATGACCATATCAGCCTTCCCCTCCTTTAATCTCCAACCCTGTCATCCTTCATCAAGGCCAACCACAGAGACAGATCAGTACTGTATCTTTACCTTTAACTAACATTATACAGTTCTTCACCCACCCTGATAATAAATCGTCTTTAACATGTTCAGTTAGTAAAGGGTTCCCTGCCACCAAAGACAGACTTAATTTCTTAGATTTTTGAAAGAGAAAAATCAAGGTAGAAAATGGTGGGGTGTGTGTGGGCGCGGGTAATGGTTTTAAAGTGGGAAGGTTTGGAAATAGCATAGAATTAGAAAGGACTGTGGCCTTAAACAGTCTCTATTCTAATGCTCTAGGATCTGTGTTACCTTGGACATACGTCTCTTCATTTTGCTTATCTGTAAAATGAGAAACTTACTCCACAGGACTATGTTAAGGAAATTGTTTTGAAAGCCTTAAAATGTCAATATTATTAGTTTGGATTATTGCTAGTAATAAAAAGAAGCAAAAGCTAGTTGTGAGGTGGAGAAAAGCATTTAAAAAGCAGGTAATGAGAGAATAAGATGAAAAAAATGTTACTTGAATTATTTTATTTCAGAGCAATCAAAAAACCTGAATGTATAACCTAGCTAGACTGCTAGGCTTGCAGTCAGGAAGACCTTCATTTGAATCCCAACTCTGACACTCATTAGCTGTGTGATAAGTCATATAGTCTCTTTGAGCCTTAATTTGTTCATCTCTAAAATGGAAATAATTACCTACAGGTTGTTATGTGACTGGGATGCAATAATGACCATATAAATGCCAGTTACTACTATTATTTCTCTTTTAGACACCCCAGGGTTTGGGGTTTTGAGAGGTGAAGGAAACCTGTACTTCATCTCTGTGAGGGGTCCTCCTAAAGCAAACAGCCAAATAGACTCTTCTTTCTTTTATAGCCAGATTCCTTTGGAAAAAGTCTGTATTTATTGCTTCTATTTATCTTTCTCTCGATTTTTAGCCTTTAGCAATCTGACCCTCATAATTCAATTGAAACTGTTCTCTTCAAGGTTAATAGTGGTCACTTAATGGACAAATCCAATAACTTTTTCTCAGCCTTCATCCTTCTTGACTTCTTAAGAACATTTGACAGTTGTTGATCACCCTTTCCTCTGGGATACGTTTCTTCTCTGGGTTTTCATGACACAGATATCTTGGGTTCTCCTCATTCATGTCGCATTCTCTAGCTAGGGATATATATATATGTATTTTTCTATCTATATGCCCTCCCTCTGTATGATCTCATCAGTTCCCATGGGTTTGATTGTCTTTTTATGCAGATCTTTCAAAGGTGTCTGTCGATCTGTCTTTATCCATTTATCCATCTATCTATTTTTCCATCTGTCTGTCTAGCCATCGACTGTCATCTGTCTTATCTGTCCAACTATCTGTCCATCTGTCTATCCTTCTATTCATCTGTCTATCTAGCAATCTATCATCTATCTATCTATCCATCTGTCTGTCTATTCATCTGTGTATGTCTGTCTCTAGTTATTCATCCATCTATCTATCCAACCTCTAGAGTTCTTTCATTATCACGGCTCTAAATCACCACCTGCTTCTTAGACCTCTAATGCCCCTAGGCATGTCAAAATCAACATATCCACAACAGAACTTGTCTCTGCCCCAAACCCTCTAGTCTTTGGAATGTAGGGGTGCCCTCTGTTACTGTCATGGGCTTATCCCTAGGTCATTCTCCCTCCTTTCTCAAGGAGTTCAGTCTCTTGGTCACAGTCTTCCTCTTTACCCAATCCCTGCCCTGTAGGAGGGGACTTCAGTATACATGATAATGTCCCCTCAGACTCTCAGATTTCCCAGATCATCAGTTTCCTTAACTCCTGCTTCCTTATCTTTCATCATTGTGTTCCATCTCTCCATTGCCCACAAGTGTGCTGCTTTCATGATCAATAACTCTGAAATTCCTTTATTTAACTGTAATCTCCTATCCTTCTATTTCTCTCTGTACCTTCTCCTTCCTAAACTAAGTTTTTTCATCCTCACTATGGCCTTCAGTCTCTCACTAACTCTGGGCTCTCCTCTGCTTGTATGCTTGGAATCTAGCACAGCACTTGGCACGTAGGAGGCATGTAATAAATGTTTGTTGATTGGCTGCTAGATCGATCACTTCTCATGCTTTGCCAAACCCTAATCCTGAATCACACTCGCCATCTGTGCTGGAGAAAGTCACAGAACTATGATTGTGAGTCTCCTTCACATTTATTTTCTTTAACGTCAGCTGGGCCTTACCCCACACAAGGCAGTGCTTTTAGCCTTCCCAAATTGACTCTGTTGCATTCTTCATATCTACCATTTCAAACCTTTGCTTTTTTCCCCAGACTTCGCATTTTCTTCTCTTGCTCTCAGCAGAAAATCATGATATTCTTGATGATCTTTCAGATTACTGCAGGCATTAAAATTTCATTTAGAGGCAGTTAGGTGGAAGTGGTGCTGTGGATAGAGAGCTAGACCTGGAGACAGGAAGCTGTCGTTCATTTGTTTCAGCCGTGTCCAATTCATTTGTGACCTCTTTTGTGGTTTTCTTGGCAGAGATCCTGGAATGGTTTACCATTTTCTTCTCCAACTCATTTTACAAATGAGGAAACTGAGTCAAAACCAGGTTAAGTGACATATCCAGGGTCACACAGCTAGTAAATGCCTGAGGCCAGATTTGAACTAAAGTCAGACTCCAGACCTAGCACTTTATCCACTCAACTGCAGCCTCAGGCACTTACTAGCTGTGTGACCCTGGGCAAATCACTTATAACCTCTGTTGGCCTCAGTTTCCTCACTCATAAAAAATTAAGATAATAAAGCCCCCATTTCTCAGGGTTGTTGTGAGAATCAAATAAGATCATAATATCTGTAAAAGCTGTTTGCAAACCGTAAAGCATCCTACTCCCATACCCTATAGGAATGTCACATGTAGGTTTAGCAATTTTTTAAACCTTACTATGAGGGAGCATAATAAAAAAGCTAAAAGCCACTATATAAGTGCTTAGGTATTCTAATGTGAAGAATTAATAGCTCTTCAAACTAATAAACCACTTTTTGAAGACTCAACTTGGGAATTTCTGCCCTAATTTTCATTGCATCAAAGTCCATTATGGAAATGGCCAGCGTTTCTCTTCAGACTGATGGACAGATGCAAAACTAAAGTCTGGTTGGACAGAGCTGCCTGTCCCTCTAGGTTGTCTGTCTTCCTAGATAATACCTTCCTTAATTGTAGAGGCACCCAGGTGCCACAGTAGATCGAGAGCTGGGCCCAGAGTCAGGAAGACCCAACTTCACCTTTGGCCACAAAGGTGTGTGACCCTGGGCAGGTCACATATCCCATGTCTTCTCTCAGATTCCTCATCTATAAAATAAGTGTGATACTAACACCTACCTCCCAGTGTTGTTGTGAGGGTAAAATGAGTTAATGTTTTGTAAAGTGCTTAGCAAACTGTAAAGCGCTCTAAAAATGCTAGCTGTTATTTTTATTATTTAGTGGAAGCTTCTTTCTCCTCCCTTTCTTTCCAGATACACTCTAGAATTAAGTATACTGTGCCAGGATAGCCTTGGAACTAAACTAACCTCAGAAATTAACAGTGCAGGAAATGGCTACCTGTCCCATTGATCTGGTGTGTGTTGAGTTATTGATGCTTCATACCTCTAGCCATCCTTCCTATCTTCTTTAACCCCTCTTTTTTTGCACCCTTGTCTTTCCTCCACTGGGATGAAGGGCATGATACAGCTAAGTAACAAGCATCAGTGATAGATGTTTATCCT